GCTAAACAAAGAAAACTAAAAAGGACTATTCTACCCTTAATAAACAATAAAACAAAATAACCATATATTTCTTAACAGGAACAAATTTCAATAAATTATTCTTGAAATGATATAAAGAATGCATAATGATATAAAGCTAATAACAAACTTGAAATGGATAGGAAGTTAATTTTAACCTGCGAAATAATAAATAATATCAAAACTTATTTTGCACACTTTAACGAAACAGAAAAATATAGGTATTGAAATTTTTTGACTTTATGTCCAAAATTATTTGAAATTATATGATTGAAAATGAGTTTGAGAAAAAAATGACTTTTAGAAAATTAACATAATATTTAAAAATATGAAAATATCTTATTATATGTAAACTCATAAAGCTTGAGACTTCATATTAACGTTTTCTCATGTCCAACACCATTCAAAACCATACCCTACCTATGGAGTGCGTATTGTGAAAATTTTCCTTAGTTTTAAGGACTAGAAAATAATTTCATATGAATATTCTCTAATTAATTATTGTAATAACATAATTTTTACGAACTTAAAATCTACAAAAGGAGGTTCATGTACGTTGTAAAAAGTCTAAAAAATTAGAATGATGTTACTTAACATCATTGGTGTTAAAACACCCGTTTAGATTACACTAATATGACATTAAATAAGAAGTACACTTAAACGAGTCACTGAATTCCATATTTCATTGAGTCTATCACATAATACTAGCTAAACTGGTGTTATAGAATCACGGGTACTATATAGCATTATTTAAAAAATTAAATGTTAAATTATTAGTCCCAAAAAGTTTTTGCTCCTATTTCACAATTACTGGTAATTTTAAGTTAATTAATCTCAAAGTTATAACACGCTATTAGATTTCTTAACGAATGACCAATAGAAATTAAAATGTAACAAATGTTCAATTCTGTCTATTGATCTCGCTTTTAAATTGGGCAGCTTAATCAACATATCCGACTCCACTTATATCTATGTGTAAGGCTCCTACAAACGTGTAGAAATCTTTAAAACACACCGATATTCTCCGAAGGTAGGAGAGGCGATTACGAGCGCTCTGATAATCAAGTCAGCCAATTATAATTGTGTATTTTGTATGGGATGAACTGAAGAACGACAAAAATGTGTATGATATTGGATTCAAGAGAGAATGTAAAGCAATGTTATTTGAAAAGTAAATTGAGAACTTGAGTGAGAGGCGTTTACTGTACAGATGTTAAATTAATCAATCATGTGAACGATCTCGTACAGATGATCTCTTTGATAAAGCGCAATTAGGAATATGCCTTGTGGACCGAAGGCTCGTCGCTTTAGAAGTAGGTTTCAGTAGATCACAGCACCTCGCCTTGGACATAGAAGTTCGGCCTTTACACGTCGATTTCGCCTAGGTGATGGGATCACTTTGGCTCATTTATTTGATAGTCACGGTTAGGCCATTTAAGCAAGTGGCTAAACTTTAGATGACTTCTTGTCATTTTCTAACTGTTTGTTACGGGGTCAATGATAAAGTCCCGTACGTTTGCTTCAATCAGAATAATTAGTACTACAACCAATTAATGCTAATTCTTTAATCTTTGCCAATATCTAAATGATATTTGCTTGAGGTGATAGAAATTGTAAAATTAGCGGCGAATAAGTAGAATAAAAAGCCTAAAAGCCTAAAATTAAGTCAAAATTCAGAAGTGTAATGGATGGTACCAAACGCTTAACGATAACACGTAATTCATCAAGAAATTTACTGATGTTGGAATTTGTCCAAAGTTGTTTATTACAAAGATTTTGCAGGGATTGTTTGTCTCTAGTTTTTTATTACAAAGATCTTGCAAGGATTATTTATTTTCTCAAATTATTGATTACAACAACTTCGCTGCATATTTGTAAAATCAATCCATCATGTTTGACCAAAATCTTCTCCAACTTACCATATAAAAGATATTAATTGATCTCATTTAATTTTTACTGAAAGTTATTTTAATTTCCAACTCATTTCAGAATTGGCCTCCATTATAAATAAGAACCATCCCATCCCAACCAAAGTAACCCTACGACATTTCTATTGTTTAAATTCCTCAAAACCCTTAAAATGGCTGTGAATTCCCGTTCTTTACTCTTGGTTTTGACATTGTTGGTTGCCGTGTCCACTCTTTTTGAAGTATCGATCGCACTAGGTGGCCGAAAGGCTAAGGATCCCGACACCAAATTTAAGCCTTTGGACCCGAAAGATCCTAAGGTGGTAGAAGTGGCGGAGTACGCAATCAACGAATACAATAAAGAGGCTAAAACCAACTTGAAATTCGACCATGTTGTCAACCGAGGCCCTCATTCCGAGGCCCTGACATTATCCCAGGCCCTTATTCCGAGGCCATGTTGTCTCAGGCCCTTATCCTAGGCCCAAGCATTCCGAGGCCCTTATTCTGAGGCCCTCCTTGATATACCGAGGCCCAATATCGAGACCATCATTGTTAGCCGAGGCCCTTATATCCTAGGCCATCATTGTTAGCCGATGCCCTTTATTCCGAGGCCCTCATGCTAGTCGATGCCTATTATTCCGAGGCTATCACTACTAGCCAAAGCCCAAGCTTATTCAAATGCCTTGACTTATTCCGAGGCTACTTTGTCAATGGAGGCCCAAGCATTAT